TTGGTGGGTGCTGCAAATGGCAAACTCTTTTGTTGTAAGGGGCAGTATGATTACTTTCTATATAGGAAGATTATATTGAATTTTCCACCACTGCGAAAACTTTTTTAACCATGTCAAAAATCTTGTGGTGCCTTCTGCTAAACTGAAATTTTATTTCAGCTCAGTCTCTTAATTTTTTTTCAATTTGTACGTGGACACCGTGATGTTTAATTGTCAGCCTGTTTTCCGTGGCTATGAAATATTATAACAAGTGAGAGTGAAACACAAGTTTGCTTTCCTCTTTAGAATTCTCCTCTCAAGTTACCACCAGATCAAAGATTATGGAAAATCGATGAGAGTATTTTCTCAGAGGAATCATCAATAGCCACATTGTCAAGACGTTCCTCTCTACAGAGTCTTGAGTGCAGTGAATATGAGCCTCGAACTACAGTTGAGCATTCTGGAGGAACAGTATACAAGACAGAGTTGTAATATTTTTAGTGCCTGCTTCAGACAGCCTACAAACCAAGTGCCTTGTATCTGGTCTATACATTACCAGGGGGTTACCCTGGATTTCAAGTGACAGGGATGATTGAAGGATTTTGGGGGTTTGAAATCTTCGATTTTGGGATTTTTTTGGGTAGGAAATTTTGGCAAGACTTTTTTTGGGGGGTAGCTTGATTTAAGTAGGGATTTTTTAGGGTATTCAAAACAGTATGAAGATTCATGATAGTTCCCGTATATTCTGGCCGCATAGTTCCTTTGGAAATTTTACGACTGGGATTTTTTGGGGTATTGTTTGAAGCCGTAGGGAGTTTTTTGGGTTTTGAATTTCGCACCCATTCGATCATCCCTGTCACTTGAAATCCAGAGTACCACCCCAGGAAAACACTAGGGGTAGCACGCAATATGTAAAACAATTGGACCAGCATTCTTCTCTGCAAATCCAGGACATTTTCATATGCAAACAGGGAGATATTTTTCAATTAATGGACCGGGCTTTATAAGCATAACAGTAGCTTTGTTGTCTTTGCATAAATCATTAGGCTTGCTCATGAAAACCAGGTATTCTAAAGTTTAGATTACACAATATGCAGTTGTGTTGAATACTACTATTCAAGGTGTAAGGGCGCTTTCCAATTGTCAGAACTGACCAGCCAGACCATTCCTGTCTTCGTCTCTAGGGCAAAAGCAGTTGCAACAATATTTGGGTTTAGCATTTGGCCCTTTGTAATAATATAGAATGGTAATATATCTGAAATACTGCTACACACAGGTTTACAAATTTATTACACAAGAATCAATCCTAGTAGTATTTTTCATTTTTTAGGTTTTTACTTTTTACAGAAGTAGTTATTACTAAGCTAGGTATACTTTGTACAGGAATGAATTTTATCAGGTTTTGAGAGTTTTATATTATTTATTGTATGGGAAAAAATGTACGATTTCAGAAAAATACGTTCCCAGATCATACATAGTTCCTTACGGAGCAGGCTTCCCTTTTTTTTTAATCAGAAGGAAGGATTACAGTCCAGCCAGTTCAAACATATATGTAGTATTCTATTAAAGAACTGATTATGTAAAAATTGATCCATTTTTAATAGGGTGAGTGTCACAAACAAGTAATGCGTTCAATTTTCAAGTAATGAATTCTGTGATAGAATTTATGGGGATATGCTTGATCTGTCTTAACTGTAACACTAATCTGAACCTGTTCCGTGGGAGATTTATGTATATTTTTCTGAATCATCCTCTGAATAGCAAAAGAAGCAGAAAATGAGAAAAAATGTTGTATTTTTATTTCAATTTTTTTTTTTCTGAGAATTCATACATCTAAGACTCCACAATAGTACATTACTGGCATGTGTGGTTTCAAGGGACTATGAACTCAAATAGTCAGATTTCCATTTACTTGACCATGGGACAGGAAGAAGTTTTTTTCTCCAATAGACATTAAAGCCTTTTTAAATGACCTGCTTAAAAGTAGGTTGGTTTACCCTTCATCATTTTGGTAGCCATCAAAACAGCTTACCTCTTCATAATTAATACAGCTAGAAGTGTGCAAAAGGAGACAAAATATTTTTTTTGTTAGTTATGTTCGATGTAACTTCTTAAGGTCCCCAACAGAGTAACAATAAATTTATTGTATGTTGTAACATTGTGAAGTGTTATCTCAAAGTATGATAATTAAAGACCTAATGTCGAATTGCATGTCATAAAAATAGAAATAGAAAAAAAGAAAATATCACAAGCCATCAACAGACTCAAGAAAGGTCACAATGAGTCTAGTGCTGCCTGGTTTTGATGGCTTTCTCTAACTCTCTCTTGGGTGAAAACATCTACATTACAAGTTGGTGTCCTCGTGATTACCAATATTTTTATTGCAGATGAGATTATTATGCTATTGCATGAGTGCCACTAGAGCTTGTTTAAGGCTTGTACTTCACCCCAGGTAAAACACACAGCATTTCAAACAACAGGTTTGCAGCGGTCAGAGCTGTAGTTCCTGTGGTATCATATGGAGGTGAGACCTGGAAACAATCATTTGAAAGAACAGTCAATTCACTACCTCATAATAAACACTAGTCTTTAATGGACAACACAATGGACACCTCCCAACAAGAGAAACCTTGTTGAGTTAGTTCGTGGTATTCTTAGTCATATTTTGTGACTCTATATGATGGACATCTCTCTCAGATGGAAGCAAAAGTGATTGTCCCATCAAAAGTGTCTCTTCGAGAGAAGAATAGGAAACAGGCTCTGAGGAGGAGATTTGTCAAAAATTTTAATACGAAAAGAACTTAAGCTATACGCTGAAAATTGTGTACAATTAAACTGGATAGTAGACATGCTTCACTACTTCTGACTTATAGCTTATTGTTTTTGTATAGTGATTATATTTTACCTCAACCATATCTCCACCCACAACGTTCATTCCACGACAACCTCTTAATATTTCAATTCCTTGTATAGATGTCAGGCCTCCTATCTCTGGGGTACCTGGTAAGAACCGAAAAAGGAAAAGACAGTCCTGACCAGAATCTTTGCGGAAATTAATATCACATACAGTTTTCTAGTTACATCATTAACTCCATGATGGTGGCACTCAAAGAAAGTCCAGCAGAGCTGGTACTTTAGTTAGGTCTCCAAGTGCCCAGAATCAAGGATTCAAAGAGCCCATAATTTTATTGGTACAAAACTCTAAAGAAATAGTGTCAATCCCTAAAAATTAACTGCTGAACAGGGTTGTTTTACATGGTCACACCACACTGACAGAATTTCATTTACAGACTCAGGACTTGAATACATGATCAACTGGGGGTTTGAAAGAGTTAACAGAGTTTGTATTCATTTAGGAAAGAAAAAAACTCCATCACCTGTTCCTGGAGCAAAAGCTGGGTCCAAGCCATCAATATCAAATGATATATACACTGGTCCGCTGCCCATCTGCTGTCGAACTTCTGCCATAAGTGGTACCAGGGACTTGTGCCAACATTCATGCGCCAGAACTAACCTGAAACCCTAGACAAGATAAAGATAATTAGTGAATGGTATGAAAATCATGAGTCCCTGAAACACTTGAACTTTTGCTGTTGAAATCTCTGAAGCAGTTATGATGACGCTCATTTGGCATATTTTTTCCCCCTCTGACTCTTGAACTCTTTGCAAAAGGGGCTTGGATTAAGAAAAAAGGTCTTAGCAAGTCTGAGATACTGTCATTATAATATTATCAACCACTTCTTCACAGGTAGTAATTCATGCACAAGTTCTAATGCAATATAATAAGCAGCAAGAGTTTGAAAATCAGGACTATACGTCTGCAACAGCTGCATTAATATTATGCAAACCAAACAATCTTTAACATTATAATAAAGATTTCATTTATCATTAACCAGTGATTACATTAATTTGTTGGAAATATCAGTTTATGTATAGAGAACCTGGTCTTCTGCCCATTGATAGTCTTTTCCGGTATAACCTGATCCACGCAAACCAATCTGTACAACACGTTTACAGTCCAGCAGACCTTCCTCTACTGCTCGGCGAAATGGTGTTCCATGTGTCACTTTCTCACCAAACATTGAATCACTAGTGTCTGAATGAGCATCTACATGGACAAGACCAACTGGACCATGCTTTTCCTTGTTAAAGAGATGAAAACAATTTTGTTTGTGCCAAACAGTATTTCTTAGCCTCAAGTTAGCTTCTTATGTAAAGAGTAAACTTTGCATAGGCCATAGGATCTCAAGATTTTTTGGCTATCCCCCAACTAACTTGTCAACAAAGTTCTGGGTGTTGAAGGAAGTGTACATATGAACTAAACAAAAAGAAGCATTAGTTGATGGCAGGTGCAAGTGACCCAGATATTATCATGACTATTGACTGCCTTTTCATGCCCTGTTGGGTGGGTTCCCTGTGCAATTGGGCTAGGGCTCACATTCAGCAAATACTGGACTGTCACTATTCACAGTGCCGGATCCAGACCTTTAGATAAGGGGCGGAGGGCAGTCATCCAGACCCTTAGATAAGGGGGGACCGGGTCTCCTTCCAAAATTTTTTCTGGCCCTTCGCGCCTCAGTTTAGTCTAAAAATAAGGCCGCTCCCCTGGATCCGCCACTGATTCAAAAAATTTTCTGTAACCACGGCACTGAATTCAGTGACACAGATTACATTCAACTCTCTTAATGGACTCCTTCCCTAGGGGCTGGTCATTTGTAACCTGTGACAGCGGGCTGGCCATTCTGAGAAATCTTGTTTTACCATTTACAGCTGTCACATTCAATTTCAATTCATGCTCATTACTGCTTTGTACTTCTGTCACAAAATTTATTAAAATTACACCCCCGGGTAATACTCTCTTGTCTGAAAATGACCCCCCAATACCAATCAATATTTTGAAAATGACCCCCTAGCAAAACGGCTGCCCGCGCTTCCCCATTCGTCCATAGGTGAAATGACCTGCCCCCTAAACTGGATACCTAGTAAAAGAAAGTGACCAAAGACCTCCTCTGCTGTCTAAGAGGGACATTTGGTGATGGTCCCAGAGACGTATGATGACTTAGTAAAGAGAAATTAGACAATGGATATCAAAGAGGACTTTAACCTTAATTCCCTGCAGTATTGGATAAGTGATGGTGTGATCGCCTCCCAGGATCAAAGGCTTGCAGCCAAGGTTGGCAATAGCAGCAATATGTTTGCGTATAATATCAACTGTTGCAGCTAGGCTATATGTGTTGATGGGGATATCACCAATGTCAGCAATCATCAGACTTTCAAATGGGGCAGCTCCAGTGACATTGTTGTATGGACGAAGCATACAAGACTCTGCTCTTATTTGTCTTGGGCCAAGGCTGCAAAACAAGACATTGATCAGTGATATGTTCCTACCAACACCCCTTTTATTTCAGAGTGGAAGCTTTTTAAGGAGAAGTCTTTTCTGAAACAGCTTTCAAGCAGCCTCATCCCCATGGCCAGGGTCTTTGACACGTGGGGGGGGGGGGGGGGGGGTTATTATCCCCTTAAAAAACCTAACAGGGATTGGCCCGCGGGGGGGGTCGGTTTTCACGCCCTGTTGTGACTATGGTGGGGTCGGATTTTCATTTGTGTGTCAAGAAGGGTGTACAGCTATTTTTGGTAGCATAGTTCCTTTGGAAAATTTTTTGACTGGGATTTTTTGGGGTATTGTTTGAAGCCGTAGGGAGTTTTTTGGGTTTTGAATTTCGCACCCATTCGATCATCCCTGTCACTTGAAATCCAGAGTACCACCCTAGGAAAACACTAGGGGTAGCACGCAATATGTAAAACAATTGGACCAGCATTCTTCTCTGCAAATCCAGGACATTTTCATATACAAACAGGGAGATATTTTTCAATTAATGGACCGGGCTTTATAAGCATAACTGTAGCTTTGTTGTCTTTGCATAAATCATTAGGCTTGCTCATGAAAACCAGGTATTCTAAAGTTTAGATTACACAATATGCAGTTGTGTTGAAGACTACTATTCAAGGTGTAAGGGCGCTTTCCAATTGTCAGAACTGACCAGCCAGACCATTCCTGTCTTCATCTCTAGGGCAAAAGCAGTTGCAACAATATTTGGGTTTAGGATTTGGCCCTTTGTGATAATATAGAATGGTAATATATCTGAAATACTGCGACACACAGGTTTACAAATTTATCACACAAGAATCAATCCTAGCAGTATTTTTCATTTTTTAGGTTTTTACTTTTTACAGAAGTAGTTATTACTAAGCTAGGTATACTATGTACAGGAATGAATTTTATCAGGTTTTGAGAGTTTTATATTATTTATTGTATGGGAAAAATGTACGATTTCAGAAAAATACGTTCCCAGATCATACATAGTTCCTTACGGAGCAGGCTTCCTTTTTTTTTTTATCAGAAGGAAGGATTACAGTCAAGCCAGTTCAAACATATACGTAGTATTCTATTAAAGAACTGATTATGTAAAAATTGATCCATTTTTAATAGGGTGAGTGTCACAAACAAGTAATGCATTCAATTTTCAAGTAATGAATTCTGTGATAGAATTTATGGGGATATGCTTGATCTGTCTTAACTGTAACACTATTCTGAACCTGTTCCGTGGGAGATTTATGTATATTTTTCTGAATCATCCTCTGAATAGCAAAAGAAGCAGAAAATGAGAAAAAATGTTTTCTTTTTATTTCAATTTTTTTTTCTGAGAATTCATACATCTAAGACTCCACAATATTACATCACTGGCATGTGTGGTTTCAAGGGACTATGAACTCAAATAGTCAGATTTCCATTTACTTGACCATGGGACAGGGAGAAGTTTTTTTCTCCAATAGACATTAAAGCCTTTTTAAATGACCTGCTCAAAAGTAGGTTGGTTTACCCTTCATCATTTTGGTAGCCATCAAAACAGCTTACCTCTTCATAATTAATACAGCTAGAAGTGTGTAAAAGGAGACAAAAGATTTTTTTTTGTTAGTTATGTGCAATGTAACTTCTTAAGGTCCCCAACAGAGTAACAATAAATTTATTGTATGTTGTAACATTGTGAAGTGTTGTTATCTCAAAGTATGATAATTAAAGACCTAATGTCGAATTGCATGTCATAAAAATAGAAATAGAAAAAAGAAAATATCACAAGCCATCAACAGACTCAAGAAAGGTCACAATGAGTCTAGTGTTGTCTGGTTTTGATGGCTTTCTCTAACTCTCTCTTGGGTGAAAACATCTACATTACAAGTTGGTGTCCTCGTGATTACCAATATTTTTATAGCAGATGAGATTATTATGCTATTGCATGAGTGCCACTAGAGCTTGTTTAAGGCTTGTACTTCACCCCAGGTAAAACACACAGCATTTCAAACAACAGGTTTGCAGCGGTCAGAGCTGTAGTTCCTGTGGTATCATATGGAGGTGAGACCTGGAATCAATCATTTGAAAGAACAGTCAATTCAATACCTCATAATAAACACTAGTCTTTAATGGACAACACAATGGACACGTCCCTACAAGAGAAACCTTGTTGAGTTAGTTTGTGGTATTCTTAGTCATATTTTGTGACCCTATATGATGGACATCTCTCTCAGATGGAAGCAAAAGTGCTTGTCCCATCAAAAGTGTCTCTTCGAGAGAAGAATAGGAAACAGACTCTGAGGAGGAAATTTGTCAAATACGAAAAGAACTTAAGCTATACACTGAAAATTGTGTACAATTAAACTGGATAGTAGACATGCTTCACTACTTCGGACTTATAGCTTATTATTTTTGTATATTGATTATATTTTATTATAGCTTATTATTTTTGTATATTGATTATATTTTACCTCAACCATATCTCCACCCACAACGTTCATTCCACGACAACCTCTTAATATTTCAATTCCTTGTATAGAGGTTAGGCCTCCTATCTCTGGGGTACCTGGTAAGAGCCGAAAAAGGAAAAGACAGTCCTGAACAGAATCTTTGCAGAAATTAATATCACATGTACAGTCTTCTAGTTACATCATTAACTCCATGATGGATGGCACTCAAAGAAAGTCCAGCAGAGCTGGTACTTTATTTAGGTCTCCAAGTGTCCAGAATCAAAGTTTCAAAGAGCCCATAATTTAATTGGTACAAAACTCGAAAGAAATAGTGTCAATCCCTAAAAATGAACTGCTGAACAGGGTTGTTTTGCATGGTCACACCACACTGACGGGTTTCATTTATATAATTACAGCCTCAAGACTTGAACACATGATTGGCTGGGGTTTGAAAGAGTTAACAGAGTGTGTTGTATTCATTTTGGAAAGAAAAAACTCCATCACCTGTTCCTGGAGCAAAAGCTGGGTCCAAGCCATCAATATCAAATGATATATACACTGGTCCACTGCCCATCTGCTCTCGCACTTCTGCCATAAGTGGCACCAGGGACTTGTGCCAGCATTCATGCGCCAGAACTAACCTGAAACCCTAGACAAGATAAAGATAATTAGTGAATGGTATGAAAATCATGAGTCCCTGAAACATTTGATCTTTTGCTCTTGAAATCTCTGAAGCATTTATGATGACACTCATTTTACCATATTTCTTCCACCTCTGACTCTTGAACTCTTTGCTAAAGGGGCTTGGATCTGAAATACTGTCATAATAATATTATCAACCACTTCTTCACAGGTAGTAATTCATGCGCAAGTTCTAATATTGTTAATAATAATCCTGATGCAACAAATGCAATAAAATAAGCAGCAAGAGTTTGATAATCAGGATGATATGTCTGCTACAGCTGCATTAATATTATGCAAACCAAACAATCTTTAACATTATAATAAAGATTTCATTTATCATTCACCAGTGATTACATTAATTTGTTGGAAATATCAGTTTATGTATAGAGTACCTGGTCTTCTGCCCATTGATAGTCTTTTCCAGTATAACCTGATCCACGCAAACCAATCTGTACAACACGTTTACAGTCCAGCAGACCTTCCTCTACTGCTCGGCGAAATGGTGTTCCATGTGTCACTTTCTCACCAAACATTGAATCACTAGTGTCTGAATGAGCATCTACATGGACAAGACCAACTGGACCATGCTTTTCCTTGTTAAAGAGATGAAAACAATTTTGTTTCTGCCAAACAGTATTTCTTAGCCTCAAGTTAGCTTCTTATGTAAAGAGTAAACTTTGCATAGGCCATAGGATCTCAAGATTTTTTGGCTATCCCCCAAGTACCTTGTCAACAAAGTTCTGGGTGTTGAAGGAAGTGTACATATGAACTAAACAAAAAGAAGCATTAGTTGATGGCAGGTGCAAGTGACCCAGATATTATCATGACTATTGACTGCCTTTTCATGCCCTGTTGGGTGGGTTCCCTGTGCAATTGGGCTAGGGCTCACATTCAGCAAATACTGGACTGTCACTATTCACAGTGCCAGATCCAGACCTTGAGATAAGGGGCGGGGGGCGGTCATCCAGACCCTTAGATAAGGGGGGACCGGGTCTCCTCCCCAAATTTTTTCTGGCCNGGCAGGTGCAAGTGACCCAGATATTATCATGACTATTGACTGCCTTTTCATGCCCTGTTGGGTGGGTTCCCTGTGCAATTGGGCTAGGGCTCACATTCAGCAAATACTGGACTGTCACTATTCACAGTGCCAGATCCAGACCTTGAGATAAGGGGCGGGGGGCGGTCATCCAGACCCTTAGATAAGGGGGGACCGGGTCTCCTCCCCAAATTTTTTCTGGCCCTTCGGGCCTCAGTTTAGTCTAAAAATAAGGCCGCTCCCCTGGATCCGCCACTGATTCAAAAAATTTTCTGTAACCACGGCACTGAATTCAGTGACACAGATTACATTCAACTCTCTTAATGGACTCCGTCCCTAGGGGCTGGTCATTTGTAACCTGTGAGGGTGGGCTGGCCAGTTTGAGAAAGTTTGCTTCACCATTTTTAGCTGTCACATTCAATTTCAATTCATGCTCCTTACTGCTTTGTACTTCTGTCACAAAATTTATTAAAATTACACCCCCGGGTAGTACTCCCTTGTTTGAAAATGACCCCCCAATACCAATCAATATTTTGAAAATGACCCCCTAGCAAAATGGCTGCCCGCGCTCCCCCATTCATCCATAGGTGAAATGACCTGCCCTCTAAACTGGATATCTAGTAAAAGAAAGTGACCAAAGACCTCCTCTGCTGTCTAAGAGGGACATTTGGTGATGGTCCCAGAGACGTATGATGACTTTGTCAAGAGAAATTAGACAATGGATATCAAAGAGGACTTTAACCTTAATTCCCTGCAGTATTGGATAAGTGATGGTGTGATCACCTCCCAGGATCAAAGGCTTGCAGCCAAGGTTGGCAATAGCAGCAATATGTTTGCATATAATATCAACTGTTGCAGCTAGGCTATATGTGTTGATGGGGATATCACCAATGTCAGCAATCATCAGACTCTCAAATGGGGCAGCTCCAGTGACATTGTTGTATGGACGAAGCATACAAGACTCTGCTCTTATTTGTCTTGGGCCAAGGCTGCAAAACAAGACATTAACCAGTGATATGTTCCTACCAACACCTTGTTTATTTCAAAGTAGAAGCTTTTCAAGGAGAAGTCTATTCTGAAGCAGCTTTGAAGCAGCCTCATCCCCATGGCCAGGGTCTTTGACACGTGGGGGGGGGAGGGTAATTACTCCCTTATAACACCTAATGGGGATGTGCCGCTGGATGAGGTCGAATTTTTACGACTGGATTGACTATTATAGGGATGCATTTTCAACAGAGTTACCAGAATGGTGTCGCACATTTTCTGATTTTGGGGTAACACAGTTCTTCATTTTTACGAGGGTCTCGAGCGAGGTCTCTTAGGGAAAACATGGCCATCCGTGACGCCCAAGTCACGCAAATGTACAAGATTCAACGCGCCAAAAAGGCAAACATTTCCAATACAACCTACCGAGTCCCAGATCGGTTTGAGGTTCCTGAATCCAGAGGAATTCCCACAAAACAGGCGTCTAGACCCTCTGCGCTGCTCGGTACTGGAAGGCGCATCATTGAGGCGATACCTCCAGAGCGAGGCATGTCGTTCGGGCTGATTGGAAAGTTGAAGTCATCTTTGTTTAACCGACTACAAATAGTTATCTTACGAGACTGCAACGAGGGTTTATTCCCATTAAGGTGGAAAGGTTTTGAACCTAACAAGCGAACAATGTGCCTCTTCATGGTTTTAGACAAAACAGCACGGAGGGTGGAGTGAGTAGGACTGGAACTAGTCATTCATTTGCAATGTAAGCGCACGCAACAG